GTTTATTTAGCCAATCGGTCAATTGCAGCTTGCCGTTGGCGGGAAAAAACTGTAGTTTTGTCACGGAATGCCCCCTAATCACCCAAAAAAATATTACGCCACCGGCGTTTTTAAATGGATTTAACTCTTTGAACGTACAATAGGGTTTGTGAAGCAGAAAGTCAGTTTAATTTACACAATCTTTCAATTGCGTTCGTTGGCGGGAAATGTACGTTTATTATGGAATTGACAACTATTCAACCAATATATATTTACCCTGCCAAATAAATTTGAAGAAATAGAAAGGAATAAATATAATACACATGTACTCAATCTTTACACAATCTGGCAATACTGCTTTAGCTCCAACTGTGCCGATCCAGCCACCAAAAAACTTAAGCTTTTGACCTTAACTTTACCATTATTTCGAATCTTTGAAAAAAATGGAAACCTCTAAGTTTAACGATTTCTGTGCCCCTGAGTAACGATTTTGTGTGTCCCTGAGTAACGATTGTGTGTCCCTGATTAACGATTCTGTGTCCCTGAGTAACGATTCAAACGTGTCCCCTGAATAACGATTGTGTGTCCCTGAGTAACGATTCTGTGTTTTCCCTGAGTAACGATTCTGTGTCCCTGAGTAACGATTTCTGTGTCCTCTGAGTAACGATTCTGTGGCCCTAAAGTCTCTGTGGCCTAAACTCTGTCCCTTAATACACAAAGGTCTGTCTCTCTTTGAATGACGCCGAAAGGCTAATGGTGGAATTCTAAGTATGGCCGCGGATTTATAGTCAATCCACCTTACACAGTGCTGCTGGGGACTGCTGATATGGCTTTAATGCGATCACATGTCATGAATGAATGCATTTATGGGATCAGCGCGCCTTGTCTGCGCGCCTTCCCAGAGATCCCCGCTCCGTCGCCACACATGTCGCCGCCATTTTTTGGGAAAGAGCACTTCGATTCGTGCATCCTAAGTTTGCTAATCTTCGGATGTCGTCGCGAATAGAATATTTTCCAAATCTTCGGAACCGAATTCCACTTCGTCATGTTCGAATTCGCTCATCTCTATTTACAAAACCTGGTAGAATCTATGCCACGAAGAAATTAAGGCTAGGTTCACAACTATTCAGGTTGCGTTTGAGCCATTTCTGCATTTAGAGTTTTGCGTTACGTCTTGCGTTTTTTGATGCGTTTTTTGCATTTTTTTTACTGTAATTGCAAATGCAATTTTTTTGCATTTAATAAGTCCCTGCCTTTTACAAAAATTGCAAAAAGCCGTTTGAAAACGCACAGTTGTGAACATAAGTTACCATAGCAGAAATCATGTTAAATGGAACCTGTACTGTGTTTCTGCAAAATGCTGCAGAAAACACTTAGATGGTGTGAACCTATGGTTAAGGCAGGTTGTGAAGGCAACAATAGGGGGTCCAACCCTGTACAATAGCCTAAGGTGTATACCTAATTAAGTGGCTAATATAGGACTGTTCGCTGAATCACCAGCCTTGCCACCCTGTTCAGCGAGACATTCTGCCAGCAGGTGACCTGGAGTGCGTGTCTCAGACGTAATGCTGCAAGTGAGACCCTTCAGCCTATGGGGCCCCATTTGCTGAGAGACACACTGCTGGAAGCCACTGATCGGATGAAGAGAGTCCCATACACCAGCCAACTAAGTGAATTCTAAACATTCCCAATCCACATGCTGCCGACTGTCCACTGGAATCGAGCTAAAGTATTAGCCACAGTGTTGGTAACCCAAATCCACATTATTTTTATTTATTTATTTCATATACCGTATTTTCCCCGTGCACATATAAGGCGACCATGGTGGTGTATAAGACGACCCCCTAATTTTCCAGTTAAAACATGGGTTTATTGGGCTATACTCGAATAACAACTATCTCCGCCAAATAAGACTACCCCAACCTTCTGAATGCAACACCACACATTTAACCCCTAGCCTACAGGGCACTTATACCCACTTCCCCCCCAGGCCAATTTTCAGCTTTCAGCACTGTCACAATATCCTTTGAATGACAATTTGCACGGTCATGCAACACTGGGGCACTGAAAGGCAGCACTTATACATGGCACTGATAGGCGGCACTGACTGGCACTAATAGGTGGCACTGATTGGCAGCACTGATAGGTGGCACGGACTGGCACTGATGGGTGACACTGAAAGGCAGCTCAGATGGGCACTGATATGTGGCATTGATGTGGCACTGATGGACACTGACAGCTGGCACTGATGGACACTGACAGCTGGCACTGCTGGGGCTACACTGATCATCAGAGATGATCAGTGTACATGTCCGCTCCGCGGAAAGCCGATTACCGGCTCTCCTCTCCACTGTCAGTGTGACAGCTCGAGAGGAGAGAAATGCCGATAACCGGCATTTCCCTGTTTACATGTGATCAGCTGTGATTGGACACAGCTGATCACATGACCGAGCCGACATCTTTGGCTCTTTCCGTGATCGGTGATCCGCTGTGTCCAAGGGAGAATGAGAGGAGGTCATATGAGCCAGTCACGGCAAGTGATGTATTCCATTAATGAATACAGAGCCTGCTCGGATTGGCTGCGTCAGAGAGGCGGGCTGATGATGTCACAACTTCAGCCAATCTGAGCAGGCTCTGTATTCAGTAATAGAATACATCGCTCGCCGTGATTGGCTCAGCGTGGTACACTGTATGTAGCTGAAGCTACCATACAGTATTACCGCACATCTAGCGGTTCTATACCCGGCGTATAAGATGACCCCCAATTGTTGGGGTATGTTTTTAGGTAAAAAAAGTTGTCTTATATGCCAGAAAATCCGGTACTTGTATAGCACCGTCAATTTACGTAGCGCTTTACATATATATTGTACATTCACATCAGTCCCTAACCCTCAAGGGGCGTACAATCTAAGGTCCTTAACTCACATTCATACATACACATACTAGGGACAATTTAGACAGAACCCAATTAACCTACCTGCATGTCTTTGGAGTGTGGGAGGAAACTGGAGTACCTGGAGGAAACCCACGCAAGCACAGGGACGGCATGCAAACTCCAGGCAGGTGGTGCCATGGTTGGGATTCGAACCACCAGTTCGACCCTAGTACTGCCAGGCGGAAATGCTAACCATTTAGCCACTGTGCTGCCCATGGACAGCACAGACAAAAGAATTCAGTTGCAAACAGCGTAACACCAAATGCTGAAGCAATCTAATAACTGAAGTGGAAGCAGCAATGATGCTGTTGATGGCCTGCACCACTCCCATATTGTCACAATGAAATCTAACTGCTTATTCCAAATTCCTGACCCCACAATTCCACTGCGAACACAATGGGGAATAATTCCAGCAACACCAGATTACTCAGCAAAGCAGACTCTCTACCAGCACTCCAATTACCAGGAAAATACGCTGCATAACCTGCGGAACCAGATGCATTCGTAAACGACTCCAAATCAAGAGTAGATACTGGGGCATCCAACCACAAAGAGTGACTATTGTAAGATGCCAGAAACATCTCCCATATCTTCTCGATGCACCCTGGACAACCTGATGTAATGATGAGAAGCTGTACAGCCGGCTGTGGCCCAACCCCTCCTGACCTGAAAGCAGAGCCACCGGTGGAGCGCAATGAGGCCCCTCCCCGGCGGCTCTCCCCCACCTCACTGGGTACAGCCACACCAACAGAAACCGCATGTGACCCACCAGAAACAACCCCAGAAAGGAAAGGAGAAGGGATAGACCCCACACAGACAGGAGAAGGTGAAGCAGCAGAAATGACAGGACGAGTCTTACCAGGCTGCCCCGGGGATCCACTCCACTCAGCCGTGCCACTGGATCCCAGTGTCATTGGAGCCACTGCAGGAGTCACTTCGCCCTCTTCTGAGCCCTCTTCCGAGCCCTCTTCTGAGCCGCACAGTTCCCCTCAGAGCGCTCCTCCTCCTGATCTCCGGCGCCATCCACAAGTGAAGGCTCAGCTCCTGCCATCGGAGCTGTGACCGTGGGCGCCGTCTGAATGACATAATCACCTAGGGAAATGGTCCAGGAGCCTCCGACCTGCTCTTGGGTGAGTGATATCCTTTCATTCATTTTGTGATTTGTTTTGTGTGGGACAAACTACCCCCCGCACGGCGAAGTTCACAGTAATTATGTCCGGCCCCCCCCCCCTCTCCACCTCCCCCCAGATCGGCTTTTCCGCTGGGTATTCCCAGTCCACTGGCTAGCAACCAGTAGCTGCAACTATTCCCTCGTGGGCCGCTGGGCTCGCGCACCCCCCTCCACAGCAGGGGGGGCCTCCCAGAAACCAAATCGTCCCGGCATCGTAGTCCGGGGGGGGGTGGTGAAGGATGGGCATGGAAGCTGGAAGTAGCAGAAAATCTCTGTTAGAACCCCGCCAGGTGGTGCCCCTGGCAGCCCACTTGACAGACCTACCCAAAGCGTGGAGTCTAAGTCCCGGTCTGTGCTTTCACCCCCTCCCCCCCGGGCCCCTGATGGTGGGGATGGACTTGAAAACAGACCGGGACCAGGTCACGACCTCCGAGCAGGCCCACCATGGCAGGGGCAACCTCCGGGGATGTATTGGTACCGGGGGGAAAGCCAGATGTGAGGAGGACGGCAGGACCTAGCAGGGTGGATCACTGGAGCGGCAGGGTCCGTGGGGTAGGCGAGGTACAGAATCGGCAGGCGGAGAGTAGTCGGGTCACACGCAGGGTCAGCAGGATAAGTCATCTGTAGAGGGGTCAAAACAAGCCGAGGGTCAGGATGGAGAGAAGGCAGAGTAGTCAGGACAATCCGGGGTCAACACAGGAGTAGGCAGCGTAGTCAGGGTCCAATCAGGGTCAAAAACACAGGTACAGGACTCATTGAACTCAGATAGACCTTGCGGCAATTGACTGACACCCCCCAATTGCAGGGACATCTTTCTCGATATAGCGCCCCTCTCTGCACTGTCATTGGCCGCTCGGAACGCGCCCCCGGGCTGTCATTGGCCGCCAGAAGGCGCGCCCCGCGGTGTCCCTACTGCGCATCCTTGGAGCGCGGCATCATGTCATCCACGGCTCGCCGGGTGACCTAGTGCCTGTGTCCCCGGCGTGAGCCGTCGCCAGTGCGCATGCGCCGGCCGACTCAAGGACGCCGCGATCCCTGGACATTGCCCCCCCCCTATGGGAGCACCCTCCGGGAGCCCCACTGATCTCTCCACCGCGGGTGGCCACGAAAAAATTTCCCGGATGAGCCTGGGGGCGTGAAC